AAATTGTGAAAGGAAGAAAGATAAATGGATTGACATCTACTCAAATTATATTTCAAGATGTGTTTTCTAGTGCAAAATAATTAAAACAATGTGAAATTGATGTAAGAAAGGACAAACACATCGATTTAAAGTCCTAGAAATATGTACATACAAGTATATGCCCAATTAATATATATAGATAAAACCAGGGTTTGACAAAAGTTGGCTTTCCATATGGAAAAATAAAATTCTATCTATGTATCATAGAGATATTATGTATCTATTTCAGAAAGAATAAAGACCTAAATGTGAAAGAAAAGGAAAACTTTTAACAACTAGAAAAAAAATAGAACATACTTTTGATCTGAGGGTAGGGAAGAATCTCTTCTAGAGGAATCTTTTCTGAAACTCTTTCTAGAGGAAATAAATATATATGACTATTTCACAAATGTTAACTTCTGGCACCATAGACAAAGTTGATAGACGATATTTGTAAATATGATCGAAATGTATAATAGCGTGCATAGTATGCATGGAACATTCTAAGTGTCATGAAAAACAACAACAGCAAAAATAACACATATTATTCACACCAACATAGACATCAAAATTATGCACTGCTTTGTAATGTATGTAGAAAGAAAAGAATCTGGAAAATTCTGTAGGAGTCACCATCCAGATAGGGAAACAAAAAACAATACAAAAGTGGTTGCATAACTACCTGAAGACTGAGGCATGGGAATGAAATATGACTTGACTGAATACATCTTTCTGTTCCTTTGCATATTCTGATGAACAAAAGCAGACTGCTGAGTCCGTGACTGACTAAAGTGTCTGTTGAAACAGATAAATCATTCTTGCTTGTGAATTCCAGAAACTGGCCTTGAGAAAGCCAGCTTCAGCTGCAAAGGATTCTTGCCCTCCCCAGTCAGCATGACCCAGGTCTGCTAACAAAGTGCAAAGGGGTACAAATAACTTAGGGCAAGACTAGCGTGGGCTGAGTGGGCTTCCCTTGATTAACAAAACAAGAAATCTCTTAACACAAAATGCTTGCCTTTTCAGGTCTTAGCCAAATAATCTTTTGTAGCCCTACTTAGGTACCCTGCTTTGCCCTCCTCATGATAAAGTCAAGCCTTCACCCAAGTTTCCGAGTGAATTGCACTGACATGAAACGTACCATGTTACCACACCTCCAACAAGCTTCAGCTCCTGGCTCAGCAAGCCCAACCTCCTTTGCAGCCCCCTTAAAAATTCAGACCATCCTTATTAAGTAGGATGGTCATTCTTGGGATATTAATCTGCTACATCCTCCTCAATCGATACATTAAACTTTCTCTTTCCTTTTATTCAATTTTAGTTTTTGTGTTTGTGTTTTGGCACTGTGTCAGGGACACAGATTGATAAAAGGAATAGTGAGGTAACAAAACTTAAGAGTCAGGAGACAAAAAGCCCATATTCTACCTCTTAGAAAACCATAGTGTCCAGGAATGTCAACAGCCATGCTTTAATTTGTAGCTAGCTCCATTGTCTGATGCAATTGAAGTGAGGTGTCCTGTCCCCAGGGACTGACTACAGGAACTTTATAACTGCTGAAATGTAGAGACAGACAGCCATGCATAGGTAAGGTTTTGAAAGCATAAAGCTGTCAGGAGGAGATGGACATTTAGTCTAAGGATTAAAATGATGATTAAAATGCCCTCATCCCTTATTAGATAACCTGGGTTTTATTTCTGATCATATATATAGATCATAATATAGATCATGGGAAGTAACAGTGATGATTCAGCTAACTGGGCTACTGCCACCCACATGGTAGACCTGCATTACTGGCTCCTGGCTCCTGGCTTCAGCCCAGTGAAGTCCCAAATGTTGTGTGCATTTGGGGAATTTACCGGTATATATGATATCTCTCTTTGGGAATTTTGGGAATTAACCAGCAAATATAATCAATCAATCTCTCTCTCTTCGCTCTCTCTCTCTTCTCTCTTTTCTCTCTTTCCTACCTCTAAAATAAATAAATGTTTTGTAAAAAAAATTGTTATGACTGGTGACATGACTTGGAATGCTATGAAACTGGGAAAGTAGTCAAAAGCAAATGGGATATATCAGGTGTTTGAAGTGGATTTGTTTTCTATACAATATAACAAACTACCACAAACTCAGCAGCTTCACACAACATACATTTATTATCTCACATTTTCCATGGGCCAGGAGTATGGGCAGGGCTTTCATCAGTCCTTAGCAACAAGCAAGTTGCAGCTAGGCTACTTTATAAATCAAAGGTTAGACTGGAGGTTCCAAGCTTGTATAAATTTTTGCAGCTGAGGAACTCAGGTAGTTGGTTTCTGCAGACCAACAAGAAAGAAGAGCATCTTCTTCAAGTCTCACTTCTGGACACTTTTAAAAAAGCTCACCTAAGGGCTGATTCTGAGGCCAGAGTGCTGTTTAGGACATCTGCCATTCTATGGGTCTGCTGTGTATCTCACTTCCCATGTTGGATCGTTCTCTCCCTTTTTTATTCTATCAGCTAGTATTTGCAGACACTATTCTTGTTTATGTGATCCCTGCGGATCCGGCTGAAAAGCCCATGAGAGTATTTCAGGCATGGAAAGCCAAGACACTCCAGGGGGGAAAAAAAACTAAATGAAAGATCTCCGCGAGTGAGATCCCAGTGTTAAGAATGGGTCATCAAAGAAGGAGGTACCTTTCTCTGAAGGGAGGAGAGAACTTCCACTTTGACCCTTGTCTAAATATGATCAGAGTCGGTGAACTCAGGGGGCTTCCATAGCCTTGGCAGCTCATGACAAGAGCCTAGGGTGATTACTGATGCCATAAACAAGAGTGTCAATTTGTTAAGTCAACAACAGGAGTCACTGTGCACTTACTCCTCATGTAGGATCTCTGTCCTTAGTGTGCTGTACATTGAGATTTAATGCTATAACTAGTACTCAAACAGTATTTTTCACTTTATGTTTCTGTGTGGGAGCAAACTGTTGAAATCCTTACTTAATGTATGCTAAACTGATCTTCTGTATATAAAGAGAATCAAAAATGAATCTTGATGTGAATGGAAGGGGAGAGGGAGTGGGAAAGGGGAGGGTTGTGGGTGGGAGGGACATTATGGGGGGGGGAAGCCATTGTAATCCATAAGCTGTACTTTGGAAATTTATATTCATTAAAAAAAAAGCTCACCTAGGCAGGTCTCTATGTGATTAACTGATAATTTACTACATAAGGATCTTAATTACAGTTGAAAAATCGCATTGTATTTGCCAACTTCTTGGGAAGAAGAAAGTTACAGGATGACTTCAAATCTAGGAAATTGGGTCATACAAAGGCAGACTCAAGAGGCATGGGAATCAAGGGGAGGCATCTTAGAGTTCTGCCTAACACAAGAGGTACAGAGGAAATGGTAAGAATAAAAGCATTGAAGGTTTAATGCTAAGTGCCTTGGATGACCACATAAAGTTAAGGAAGAACTGATG